TTGTCATACAATAATTTTTGACATAATAAGCTTAAAAAAATATAATTAATTATCTCATTATTTTGACATTGAATTAGCCTTGAACCGCTTAATGTATGAATAACACGTGGTACAACTTACTAGATACCTAATAGTTATTCATGTATGAAAATCATGCTAGCCGTCCAAGCCATACAAATGCATTTTTTCATTTTAATTTCATTTTCAATGCGGTGTACGTTAAGTTGGGCTCGACTTTACAACTAAATGAAAATAATCGTTTACGATATTTTTCTTTCATTCTCGGATTTTTTTCTTTCTCTTTCTTTGCTGCTTCAGTGCCGTAAGCGACATGAAAAAAAATGAGAATTGCATCATTCATTTCATATGATTACATCTCTGAAAAGAAAAGAAAGGAGTAAAAAAGCGAGACGAGAGAAGGAAAAAGAGATAGACAAGAAAAAGTTGTTTGAAAGTTAGAGCATGTGGGTGATTGAGGCGCTTCATTTGTCGTCTTTATTTACAATTAGGAATTGATTTTTGTTTAAGTTCATTGATTTATAATTGGATATTATATTGGATATATTTTATTGGATTATATCATTTAGATTTTGTGATATTTTTGTAAAGTTGAGCTGCATTCGCTGGTGCAATTAACATAAAGGATTGGTTTTTAAGGGCTAATGTCAACTCAGAAGCTTATAAAGTCGTTGGATATTACAAAATGTGAATCAATATTGAGTGGGAAAGAGGAGGTGTAGATCTCCCTATAACTATCATATGTGCATACTAATGTAAAACAAGTCGGGTTCGATGGGAATCGAACCCACGACCTCAAAAGAGGTGATCTTTGACCACTCGTTCAGAGATCCCTGCCAATCGGTCACTGAGGTACTTATCTCACTTCGGCTATCCGTCAAACACATACAACCAGTTTCACAGTGAGCCCTATGCTCAGGCCTATCTACTACAGATATGCTCTTCGAGCCATATCTACAGGGGGCAGGGGAATTGGAGTTCTGTAACACCTCAAACTTACAATTGCATACCAAAAGTGTATCTTGGATGATCTTAAGCCATTTTGATTCAGTTTCTTTTTAAAAACTCCTATAAACTGCTATAAACTAATCTTTTTAGACCCCTTGATATGGTAATGCCTTAGCAAAGGTTTTCAATTTCAATTTAGTCATCTTAAGTTGTGCAACAGTGTTACTGAACCTTGAAGCGCTGAATTATGTACGCCAGCTCAGTGTGTAGCGCATAATCTTCACTAAGCAGTTGTGTGTCCAGCAGCCAATTAATAACTGTTTTTAGATCTTAGAACTAGTGTTCATGTCGACTCTCGTTCCAATTTTCAGTAGGTCACAATGTCTCTAGGTCCTTTCCAGTAAAAGCTCCCGTTGGTTAATTTACAGCTCTCGTAACTTTCTCTACATGATTCTTAACCCGTTCCTACATCTCACATCGCCAAATTCTTAGCTTTACGTCTTAAACTGCTGCTTCTAAGAAGCCGAAGTATAGAAACTTCTAAAAAATCATTAGGCTGGTGGTGGGATTTGAACCCGAGAGTCCAAATTCAACACAAAATTTTGTGACCTGTCACTTGCCAACTGAGCCATCAAGGCACTTTTGCTTCTCTAATTGCTTGAGACTTTCTATAATATCCTCTTATTTGGGTAATCAATTTTATTCCGATTTTATATTCAAATTTTGTAGTGTCTTTGACTGATCTTGCCTTAATCACAGAGATCGAAGCCGATTTTTTCGGCTTAATTCAATTTTTGATTTTTTTGATCGAAAAAAGCCATTTGACACCCATTTCAAGTATTTAAATTGAACTTTACATGCTTTACTAAGAATCTGTGTAATATTTTGTCAGCATGAAGCTATAGTAAGCTCAGAATTTCAAGTTAGCCGATTTTAAGCCGATCGGCTTAAATTTCGGCTTAACATTCTTTAACTTGAAATTCTGAGCTTACTATAGCTACATGCTGACAAAATATTACACAGATTCTTAGTAAAGCATGTAAAGTTCAATTTAAATACTTGAAATGGGTGTCAAATGGCTTTTTTCGATCAAAAAAATCAAAAATTGAATTAAGCCGAAAAAATCGGCTTCGATCTCTGCTTAATCAACTCGCTATCCTGGCATTTTTTAGCGACTTAAAGATGTTTTAATCAGAGCTTAAAGTCGATAAGGTTGACGTTGACTCGAGTTGTCTTGATTCAGCTCAAAACCGAGTAGACTCAAGTCAACTCGCATCGACCTCGAGCTCTGATGTTTATTAACAAGTCACAACCATCAAATCCAGTCCATCTTCCAACTCCACATCCGTCTTGCCATCTCACTAGCCAAATAGTTTTATAAATCCACACTCAATTTCATAAAACTTCGCTTTTAAAAAAAATACTCTTTAACCATCTTGTCTGTTCAATTTTTGTTTAAACAATAATTAACCTTTTGCTTACTACTGCTCAATCTGCTGTTATTTATATTATTTCTCCACTGTCTTGTTCTCACAAAAATAAACAAGAATTGTTATATAGAAATCCAGAATACATACGATCATATCCAATTGTCGATAGAATTGTTGCTAAAACGAGGCAAAAGAATTATACATAAATTGTGAAGTAAATGAAAATAAGTTGAAGTGGCTCGACTTGTAATAAGAAATTATGGTTTCAATTTTAAGATTGTCGGGTGATTGTATGGAGCAGAAGCATTTGTATAATGTTAATTAGTATGAACAATGTGGGAATTCATAAATATTTATTATTTTCATTAGAACTTGTTTCGTTAGCCTTCATCGTCGTCTCTCTTTTTTTTCACCTACCCATTCAGCCTGTTTGCTCGAGTGGCGTTCTGTATAATTCTGATGGTTACATGTGTGTAAAAAAATTGTGAAATATTTCCTTTTGTTTGTCTAGATTCAGACGTGGGGATCAGAGGCGTAGCTAAAATTGTCTGGTGTTGAGAGGATCCAGGAATTTGAAAAGGAAGAAGGGGCAAATTTTTTTGTTTGGAAAATTTTTATGGGGGGGGGGGGGGGGGGGGGTCGAGTTTTTCATAAAAACTAAAGCAAAATGAGGCTACGCGCCTGAGAGGATGGCTAAGAATCTCTAAGTTTGCCTCTGAATGCTTTCATAGACTTCATACTGAAGAGGAAGTTCAAGCATTTAGTCCCTTCCCAAGAATCTAGACTCAAATGTTTATTATTTTGCAAAGTAACGATTTAAATACTGTCATGATGTTGACTTTCGACAACTTGATAGATCATTGATCTTTAATTCTTTTTTACACTTCAATACATCAATCTGTGCTGTTGATATTTCAAATTGTCTGCTTTGTACAATTTTAAATGGCTTTTTTTTATATTTCAAAAAATAAACATTATTTTATGTTCTTTTGTTTGGAATTAGTTTTTGTTTGGGATTGTTTGCGAATTTGTTGGCATTTTGTTGTGCTGTCCATTTGTAAATTTCTTAGGATGGCTAAATTTTTACTTTTTTTTTATAAAATTCAAGTTTTTTAAACTTTTTCTGATTCTTCAATACCTGAAAAGCACAAGTAGGTTAATCGAATAGAAATCAAGCATCAAGCTGGAATGAAACTGGTAGGGTGCTGGCTTTGATTTAAATCCAGGGCCACGCTAGAGTCACATTGGCTTTGTCTCGAATTTCTGATCGACTTACCGACTTGTGTCATTCGGGATAATTGCTTTGAGTCTTTATTCTTCCGAAATTCATCAAATAATTTCCAATGAAAAATATTAGCTTCTAATTGCCGTTGAGACTTTTTTTTTCTGTAAACATCTTTCATCCACTCCCACATGTTATCACTTTGAGCCTCTCTTAATCTATCTTCAATGTGTTTTTTTTCTATTTTCGCTTTTCAAGGTAAAATTCCATGATAAGATTAATAATTTAAGAGTGATTGAGAGAGACTTGTTATTAACCTGGATAACCAAAGAAGCAACATAACGATTACACCTACAGATTAAATAAAGAAAGCATTAAATCTCGGTTATAGAAAGCTTTAGAGGTGGTTGATTTTGAAGGGTTTTTGCATTCATAAGAGGGGATTTAGAAGGAAAAGTAATTGATTAGTGATAAAGCTAGTTACGGTAATTGGATTAAAAGTTTTTAAGCGGTCACAGCTCTCTATGAAATTGATCTTTTAGGTTAGGTTCATTGGAATTATGGTTTAGGGTAGCTAATGATGAGGATATAAATAAGCAGCATTATCAGGACATTATTGGCTTTATTAGAGACATTGGAATTATATCATGGGGGACTTGAGATGGTACAACAGATCATCGATCGCAGTGCCGCTTTTGCTATATGCAAAACCCTATAATAGAATAGAATGTAATGTAGAGTTTTGCTTAGAGCAAAAACGGCACTGCGATCGATGATCTGTTGTACCATCCCAAGCCATTTCAGATCTGTAGACAGCAAAGCATTTACATAGTCAATCAGAATTTTTCAAATATCATTCAAACCCAGGCTCGGAAAACAGGCGGTGATTAGTGGTATTTCATATAAAGAGGCGGTATTTGGGGGTATTTGGAGGTATTTGTATAGAAGTTGACGGTATACCGACTAGTTCTCGAGCTTGGGTTCAAACTCATGCAACCCACTCTTAGCTTTCTCATCAAAAAAGCGTTTATCAACCAACAAAACTCTAGTTCTCCCAATCACAACCTCCTTTGACTCTTTTATTGCTTCTCTCACAAGTCACTAAGATGAGATAAATACTTTTGCATCAATCATTTTGCATAGTACATTAGAGCTGATCTAAATCTTCATCGTTCGTTCCACCTCCCACCACTCTTAATTTCTTTTCATATTCCTTTCATCCTCACTCGTGCTTAAAAAACATTTTTCCTCTCCGATTATGAAGCGCTGAACAACAACAGTCAAAAGCTCTTAATTAACCATAAACATTTTTATTTTCATTTTTATTTTAACACTTAAATAATTTTTCTTTTCTGTCTGTTTTCATTATTTTTTTTTTACAGATTGATTGTCACGATTCTGGAACGGAATCAGATGGTGATTTGGATAGTGAAGACCTTAATGAACGTGATATGGAATTAAGTGAGTACATTTTCCGCAAAATATTATTTTAATATTTTTTTTCACTCTATTCTACTTTGTCGTCGCTTTTGGTTTGCTGTTAAAGCCATTAAAATGCCATTTTTTATGTTGTCTGAATGGGAAATGTTATAAACATATTTTGTTTCTCGTTGGTTTTTTTTTTCTTTCTTCCATAATCACACGACTCGATGCGGTAATTACGAGAGACCATCAAGAACAATAAAGCCGGCATAAATATTTTAATGGTTCATCCAGTCAGTCAGTCGTTTTGTTAAAAAATACTTTCGGAAAGAATTACTTTTAGATAATATTTGTTTATGCTTCGTTTATGTGTATGTGGAGGTTGTCTAGATGGACATTTGAAAAGATGAAATTGAGAGTGATTATGATGGAATGTTGGGAATTCTTTTGGGGCTTACTGAATGAATTTTTTTAAGATTATTGTAAGAATTGTTGTCAAACAAACTAGCTACCAGAATTGATTATTTATGGTCTGGTACCTTTGGGGTAAGTCTGCCTTATTTAGTACCAATCATCGGGTTTCCCTAGGTTCTGGGTTGTTCTTAACCTTTTTTGAATTGTAACACAGTTAATAACTTAGGGATCGTTCACTTATGACGTCCGAAATTCCAGGAATTTCTTTTGTTCTTTTCTTGCTGACCCCCCCCCCCCCCCTCATGGACGTCATAAGTGAACGGTCTCTTCCTGTTTTCTTACTTCCTTGGCTATGACACACACGGGCCTAATGCCATGTTCATAGATCGTCTAAGACCGCTCTATCATTTGAATGCTTCTGCCAGTTCGAGATATTGAGGACTCTAGTTAAAAACTTATTTGGTTTAGATTTTCTGTAACTGTAAACGTTTCCTAACACAGCTTAAGAATCTGGGGACACAGTAGTGTGTCTCGAAGTATATTTTGAGAAGTACTGATTGTAATGTCGTGAGCTAAGTCGAATCCTTGTGATATCGACAACACTCTGTATGATGATTGAGAGATCAGTCTCTGATGGAAATCGAACCCATGTCCTCACAAAAGAGGGTTAAAGATATCCGGTTTTTTGCCTAATCACTCGCACCACAGAGGTCTAACAATTCAGTATCACGTTGGATGCATCTCAGCCTGTAGCAACTTTCGTCCATACATCACTTTTAACTTCACATCAATTTCGTGGTCTAAAACACGAGTTCTCTCGCACTGGAAGATTTGCCTATTTATGGCTCAATTCCCTTAGATTCCTGCACACTGCTTAAAAGCATACACATCGGTAAATACATGTGTAAGCTCTAAGTACGCTTTATTTTTCAAACCTAGAAAACAGCTAGTCACCCAAAAAATCTAAAGAACAATTTAATGTCTGCTCGTGAAAATTCTTTTATTGTTCTTTCATTATTACTTTGCTTTTTGTTGACTGAAAAATAATAGTTTAATAATAAAATTGTGTTACTATTTCCATATTTTTATTATAAACAATATTAAAAAATAATGAAAAAAAAAATAAGTTGAAAACGACATTTTGGAGAAATAGGAAAAAGAAGACGACCAACAAATGAATAAACAACATTAACTCATCTTATTTGCCTCCTCGACACATGCACGCAAATAGAACGACATAATTTGACTTGATGTATGCTTCATTATTCTCATTTTTTTTTTGTTGTTTCGTTCTTTTGTGTATGTTGTTGAGAAACAAAAAATAGATGATGACTAAGAAGAAGCGTAAATTTTTTATTATTAATATCGTGAAGGAATGCTTAACAAGCATAAAATAGAGAAGTATGTAAAGCCACAGCAAATCTCAAGAATTTTTTTCATAATAATCTTATTTTTTTCCATCGTTCTATGCTCAAATTGTGTTCTTAAATTACATACATGTCATTTTCTCATGCTTTAATGCTATGAATTATGAACAACATAAATGCACGAGAAATATTTTGTTTTGAAGACAAGAAAATTATTCAAATTAAAGTTCATTAGAGGAGCTTTACAGTGAACTTTATGATTGTTTCTTTAATATTTAATTAAAATGTGGAGTTTTTTTGGGGAATTTTGACAGCTTTGGTGCTTCACATCCTTAACATATTTAAAATTTGGTGTGAATATGAAACCTGAAAAGCAAAAGTCGGTTAATTGAATGGAAATTCAGCTCCAAGCTGGTATGACTCTAGCTTCAATTTAAATCCAGCACCATGCCAGAGTTTAGCCGGCTTGGTTCCGGATTACTCATCGATTAACCGACTTGTGCCATTCGGGAAAAAGATTTTATGTTTAAACCCGGCAACAAACAATACAGATACAACAATATGGAGACATTTGAAGATCAATTCCTTAAAAAGTTCCCCGAATTAAATCCGCAATGATTTATGTTTCCCCTAGTAACCCAAAAAAACTTTAATTTACATCCTCGTTCTCTCAAAAAGTAAAATTAATCTTCATTCATGTAAAGTACCAACGTCATAACACAAAAACCTATGAAAAAGAGAATTTTCTCCTTCACGCCATAATTAACAAAAATTTATCAACAAGGTAGGAAAACATTTTTCATCTTTTTTTTATTCACATGCAAGTGAAATTACATAATTTTTGCTCTCCTCTGTTTTCATTCTTAATATCGTCACACGACTCATCTATATAAAAAACGGTATAAAGCAGTGTTGGTAGCTGAGGGGTTGTGTTGACTCAGAGTCACTTGTTAATTGAGTCTTCTTTCTGAGAAAAAAATTGAGAAATTAATTTCAATGGACGACACTTAAATTAATTTGAGACGAGGGTGCCTCGTGAAGTCCTAGAAACCAGGCATTGAAGAACAAAGGTGAGGGGCTCTATTGAATTACTATGGGTCCTCGATTTAAGTAGATTCGATTTAAGTAACGCAAATAAATGAATAGAAAATTTAAATTTTTTTTTGTAACGGACATTTTTCATACAAAAAGTAAATAATTCGATTTGAGTAGATTCGATTTGAATAGGATTTTTCAGGAACAAAACACCTACTCAAATGAAGGACGCCCAGTATTGAGAAATCTTGTTTAATGGGAATCAAACCAACATGCTCAGGTTTAATATGGTTCCAGATTTCCAGTTGCCCGAAAAGCATAAGTCGGATAACGTTGAGACGAAATCCTACGCTAGGACAACGCGTGGACGACTTAAGGGAAAATTTTCTCGTCACAACGAAAACTTCGTCCTAAAGTCATGAATTTTTGGTCATGACAAGAAATTTACCCTTAAGTACTCTGACTATTTGCTTAATTTTTCAGTAAAAAAGTCATTTTTTTTCATTTTCAAAAATAAAATAGTTTTGTTTTGTTCTAATTCATCCAGAAAACGAATAAAATTGGTAGACACGTGGGATGTCCTCTATTTTATTTTCAGATCCTCTATTTTTTCCCGTGTTGTCCTAGAGAAGGATTTTGTCTCAATTATCTGACTTGTGCTTTTCGGGTTGGTTTCTTAGGCATTCGGGCTTAGATCTGCGATCTTACTTTGATCTCTCATTGACAGATTTGCATCAATATGACTCAATAACCAAGATAAAGCCTAGTTAAAAAACCAAATCAACTTAGTAGCTCGATAAATGTTAATAGCTTCAATAAATGCCCCCTATAAACTATTTGTACAGAGATCTCGCGATTCTCATATAAAAAAATAAATTGCTAAATCTGAGCAAGAACACTTATAAAATCAGATAAAACATTAAGTACAAGTCTAGCCACTATTTTGTCTGATTAACATGTGTATGATCTCTATAATTATATATTCTATATCCACCTGATTTAACAACACTGGCACAAAAGAATATAAAATGTAAAGTTTAAAGGAAGAAAATGAATTTATATCTCATTGAGATGCCTCACTTGCATTTGCTTGTTTCGAGTTCATTTAATTTACAAGCATTCATTTATATCATGTATATAGTTGGTTGGGGTATATAAGGCAAGTTTACAATCTGAAAGGCGAGACAAGCGAGAAAAACCAGTTCTTTTACAATAAATAACAAGCAATAGTAGTAAGAAGAAGAAGAAGAATTGCACTGTAATAATGAATAGTAAATGTGCACATTGTATGCACATAGTAAGTAGCGACAGCAGCAAATAAAAAAGATCAAATAAAAATGTGCACAGTTTAATAAAATGCCATAAAGTGCTATGAACTCTAAATATCTATTTAATTCGCGCATTAGAGGCATTTCTGAACACAGAAAATAAATAGCAACATTTTGTGTCATAAAACGTGATATTTCATGCGTAAACACGACTTCAAAAATAATCTCTCAGCATTTGACTTCTCGATTTTCTGTTTGACTCATAATAAAGAGCTGTAAATTGGCAACAGCTCGCGAGTCATTTTTATTTTGTTACTTTATGCATTATACACACAGACGTACGTACGTAATGTAAAACTCACGAGAATATTAAAATTACTATAGTACATATGATTTTTTTTTATTTACTATACAATTCTTTTTTTTGCCATTCTATATCCATCTCTCGTGGATATTTCACATACACATGCTGTACAAACTTATTTAAAATTTGAATAAAACAAAGAACGAAAATATAGTTTTATGGTGAGTCACTTTATTGAACTTCTGTGCTTATTGCTGTCATTAAAGAGGGGTTTGGACCTTAAGAAATATGTTGATACTCGGAATAACCCCTCATACTTACTTTGATGACTTGGGTGCTTATGGGCCCATTTTCGCGATCAGAGATTGCCTAAAGACAGCTCTTTACTTCAAAACCTTCTGTCAGTTCGGGATATTAAGGACTCAAGCGTCCTTATCAACACCAGGCATTTTTCCCCTTATACTTGCAACTATTAAACTATTCCTTACGTTAATACACGCTGATCTGAGACATAATTTCAATCAAAAACTGACCTACCCAACACTAATCATTTCACAATCCCAAACCCAAAAGAAATTCCCATTCAGAAAACCCATTAAATCCACATCATCACCTCGCCTGGAAGTTGTGTAACAAAAAAAGTTGTATAAA